ATATACATATATATACATATATATATATATATATATATATATATATATACATACATATATGTAGATGAACATATGCTGTATATATTCATAAATTAAACGGATTCTTTCATTTTTCTGGACTGAATAATAACGTGCATTGAATTTAATAAAATGTGGACGGAAACGTGTTTATCTTTGACTCACCAACGACAGTGGGTCATTTATTTAAAAACGATTTAAACACATCACACATTTACATTAATTTGGCAAAATGATTTCAACAACAACATGACTAATTTAGCAAGCTGTACAATTTGATTAACCATATGGCGATGGTTGAAAAACTTCACAACAGACATTTCTAAAAATACCTGGAATGATTTCTAGCAGATAGAAGAGTTTAAAGATGGAAAGATGAAGTTCAGAGGGAGGGAGATGGTGTGTGTGAGTGAAAAGTGTTGAACAGAACGGCACCCTCCATTCGAACCCAGCTTTCCTCAGTACGCTCGGTAGTAAACTCGACTCATTCCACCTCATGTACCACATGTGATGTGAATGACAGTGAAGAACTCTGGACCTTTAATTAATTAATTAATTTGGCAGCATGGTGGCGAAGTTGGTAGAGCTGCTGCCTCTCAGCGAGCAGGTTACCCTGTTCAGATCCCAGTCTGGGGATCTTTCTGGGCGGATAAATTCGACGGGTTCAGAAAACAAAACAAAAAATTAACATTTCATCTTTCATCTGAAAGACTTCTTCAGTCTGAAGAAGGATTATTGAGCAGCTTCAGGATATTTTCTGGGTGGAGTTTGCATGTTCTCTCCATGCTGCATGGGTTTTATACTGGGTACTCCGGTTTTTTCCCACAGACCAAAAACATACAAGTTAGGCTGATTGGTAACTTTAAATTGTCTCTAGGTGAGTGAGAGAGTGAATGGTTGTTTGACTCATTTGTCTCCATGTGTCCCTGTGATGGACTGGAGACCTGTCCAGGGTGTCCCTCGCCTCTCACACAGTGATAGCTGGACATGGACACCAGTGACCCCATGAAAAGGAAGAAGCGGGTAAAGGTAATGGATTGATGGATGGATGGAATAATTAATTAATTAACTAATGATTTTTGAACAAAAGTAAAACAAATTTCAGCCTCTGGACCAGTAGAAGCTGCAGGTTTCACACTAGAAGACTTCAGTCAGAAAATACATTTTGATGTTATATAACAGCTGGAACAGCTGCAACAGCTGAGCTGCAGAAAAACTCACATTATTCATTATTACAGTTATTATTCATGAACTTCCTGTTTCCATGTTTGATGTCAGAAACTGAGACGACACAAAGGAGTTACACAACTGCTGCAAATCTGACACACACACACACAGAGACACAGAAAGACACACACACACAGAGACACAGAAAGACACACAGACACACACACACACAGACACACACGGACTCACCGAGACACACACACACAGACACACACACACACACACACAGACACACACACACAGACAGACACACACACACACACACACACACACACACACACACACACACACACA